CTAGTCTTGAGCCTCCACCTCTACTGACGAGACACGACGCTGGGAGTTGGCGGCTCACAGAGCCACTGACGTAGTGCATTTCACGCACTGCACCACATGAACGGATGCATCAGGTCTGCGTGCAACTCGGATGCAGCCTGCATTGACGCAATCCAATGACAACAACTTGATTTGCCAGGAACGAGCACTCTCTTGTTGCATCCGTGTCGTCACCGGCTTCTGCTACTGCGTCGTGCGGCAGCCATCGATGTGTTGGGAACAGCTTGGAGGGTGCGTGGACAGCACGAGTTTACGGAGGTGCACACCACTCCGACATGTGTGTGTGTGTGTGCGTCATGACGACGTATGCATCTCCATCCAACTCTCGTTCTACTTCGTGTCACTGTGGCGACAGTGTGGTGTGCTACTCACTTTGCAGAGTGCTCCTCAAATGCCACCAATCTATGCTAGCCTTGCTCTCATCTCTTTCCTCACTGCAATGCGAAGTTGAAAGCATGTCACGATAGAGTGTAGGCCTTGAACTCCCCTTGGCATGAGTGTGTGGTTGTAGCATCGCCACCATCTGTAAGTGTGTGGCGATGGAGGTGACGAGTCTACACGGCAACTCTCGAGTGCTCCACACACGAGTCTTGTCCTCCTTCACTCTGGTTGCGAGCGTTTCGTGAGTGGTGGGTGGAAGCTCAAAGCATCGAGGTGACAGATGTTGCGAGTGTCGGCTGTTTATGGGATCGCATTTGACATGTGTTGGAGGAGGAGGAGGACAGGCCATCATGTGGCGTGCGGATGTTCATGTGTGTGAAGTGTGAGTGGAGGACCAACAAGACTGTTCAGATGATGCCTTTCATTCCCACCTGCACTGTGCTGTTGCATAGTGAGCCAGTGTGTGTGTTGTTGTAGGTGTGGAGACGGGTGGAGTTGTAAGGTGGAGACATGAAACAAATGTCCCAAATATGTGTTGCGTGGTGCTACTGAAGTGCTGATTAAAGTAGCATGTTTGAGGAAAGGAAAATAGTTGGGAGCCGTTTGCATGGTGTTGGACGTGGTCCTGCAGAGTGTTGCACAATTGCAAGACTTGACCTCTTGAGAGGTGTAAGACCATGAGCCAGGCGAATGAGGGCGTGTTCATCGCTAACACCCTATATAATTTTGGCCTGGTCCTTTGTGAAGTTGTTCGAATTGCTTCAACACACCATGGAGGTGTGTACTTTTCTAAAGACTACTTACCATGTATTTGTCACGTGAGACATATTGTCCGCCATTCTTTTTAAATAATTGTCTCTTCCTGAAACGACTTTAGGCATGTAGCAGCGGATAAATTTAGAGGATAAGGGGGAGAAGAAATAGGGGAAGAGTGGGGAGGGGAGTGGGACTCTAAGCAGAGTTATTGGGAGTGCTTTGACTTCCATCAGTGAGATAAAAGGTGTCATTAAATGTGATTTCATGAATAGGACGAATAGGCAGTTATTATTTTAACTATCCACTATTGTGCGAATCATTAGTGCCTAACAATAGCAACCGCAACATCTCTAAGGTGCACTATTTTTTATATTTAATCACGCACAGTGGTTTCTTCCTCTGTGGTGACTGGCTGCTTGACTATATCTGATCATCATACGATGTCATTTGCGAACAGAAAACAAAGCTTTCACTATGCTTTTCGCTAGATATTTTCCTAAAATGTCAAAAATTGTATTGGATGCTTACTACTTGAAGGAGAATGTTCTAGTTAAGAAGATGAAATTTTTTTATGCTTCAAGGTGTTGATTATAAGAAAATCCGAAATCGGGATTTATGTAGACTTTATTTATGGATTAAGTTGATGTTCATTTCAGCGGAAGCTTGGATGAACACTTAATTTGTGTAAATTATTCCAGTGTATAAAATAGATAATGTAGCATTTATGGAAAAGCCAAGCCAATATCTTTTAGTTAAGTTAGCAAGTTGTAAAGGTATAAACAATTCGATCATGCCTAGGAGGTCAATGTAGGAAACACTATTTGGCAGGAATAAGCACTGTGGTCGAATAACTTAATTAAATCAAATAGCATGCCTAGTGGTAAGCTCTCTCTGTAAAGTCAAACTGGCCAACTAACTGCCTTTGACCAATGGTTGAGAGTAAACCTGGCATCGTACCTGCTCTATAGGTCAATACAAAATGGGTTAGTCTTAGAAGAGAGATACTAAAACTGTCAGAGATTGATAGACCAACTAAATCTAATTGGAGCGTTTTTAAGTTTTCAGCTTGGTGATTACCTTGGCATTTGTCCCCCTTCGGGACGAGCCCAAACTCAATCTCTTCTTCCCATCTAAAAATATGCATTTTCGGTCCAACTTAATGACATTTTTGTAAATCAAATAAGACCGACAGTTTTATATGTCTTGTTCTTCTAATTAATAGTGAACAATTAGTTTTAGTTGCTTTTGTGTGAGTTTTTAGCTTGACAGTTATTTGTCATTTCGTATTACCTTTCAATCAAATAAAAAAATATATTGTTTTTACGATTAAATAAGACTAATTTTTAAGCTAATTTGCTTGCTGTATTTCGCTTGACCCACGCTATTGTTTAAGTGTATCACATTAAGATGTGAGTGGTCAGTGTACGTAATCAACGTCTTGTTACTGGTGAATTTTGGTGCGTTGATGACTCTACGGCTGTATTTATCTACCCTACAATAAAATGGGTAATTGCGGGACGCATTCTTCCGCGGTTGATGAAGTTGAGGAGGCTAAGCAATATCCAGAGATGTGTCCTGAACACATTGATCAACTCAGCCTAGATATTCAAAATAGGCTTGTCAAATACGGGACAAGGTATTCGGGCTCTAGCAAGCCATCTCTTCATGGAGCAGCCACAGATCCCTCTTTTGACCAAATTTCTAATGCTGATATGCCGTGCGATGCCTCAAGTGCACGTTCTGCAACACCAAGTTCCGGCGTCCGTCCTAAAAGCTATGTTAAATGCCCCAGTGTGGACGATGCCAGAGTCCACGATTCCTCTTCCCCCGTCAGTTATAGAGGAGGCGGGAGCATTAGCAGTGAGAGACGTCAACAACTTGAGCAGCGGCCTAGTTCAGCTTCTCATCTTCTGCGATATGGTCTCAACCATGTCAACAGCAACAGTACTACGAACTATTCTCCAAGTGTAAATTCATGCTGTCCACCTAACGAGCAACGAAATCCCCGCCCTTCACCCACTGTCAAGCAACTACAACATCGTTCAGTCAACAACAATGAAAAATATTCCCAAAAAATGACTCCCAAACCGGTTCAACAGAAATATCTTGTTCATCATTCCCTTGGCAAAAACTCGAGCAAATACTTTGTTGCGATTTTTGACTATAAGGCTCGCTGCGAAGGGGATTTAACTGTTCATAAGGGTGACGTTGTCGTTATGCTTGACCGTAGGTGAGTTTATTACTAACATTTTGTTTTTTAATGTTTGTTTGAACGTGTTACGTTTGAATTGTGACAAACAGTCTGGTGTGCTTCACGAAAATTGACTTTCCCTTTATTCACGATCACTTGCGGTTCTCTTTCATTCATGTTTTAGTGAAGCTGAATGAACTTGTCGTTTTATGTTTCCATGTTTAAGGCTCTAGTGTGTCCTTTATTTGCGTTAGTCTCAGGCAATATTTTACGATTTATCCCCGTTTTCCCGTTCCCACCATCTGCGAAGCATCACTATTCATTTCTGACAAGCCGCGTGCGTATACCCCCGAGTGTGCGTGAGTGTGTGCGTGTATACGCATATATTGGTGCGGTGTTCGTATTTTAAAACTGCGGGATTTGGCACAGGATCGCACATTACAGGCTTGCTCGTCCTTGGATGGGGTCCGCTGATTGGCCATCTCAAGGTCCTCCACCAAAATGCGGTCAATGATGTGCGAACGTTTGGCTCGCCTGAAATACCTTTCATGCGTCCATATAAAAAGAAAAAAAGCGAAATTTCAGTGCCAGCTAGGCGCCTTACAATTTTATTTACACACATTGAGGAGGAAGGGAGACAAGTACTGTTGACGTAGTACTTCTCTTTTCAGTGATACTGATTGGTGGTTGGTTGAGAATGCTACAATCCACCAGCATGGCTACGTGCCTTCGTCCTACCTTGCGGAGGAGAACTCAATTGAGGTCTTTGAGTAAGTGCGACTCCCCTGTTCTCTCGCTTGCCAAATGGGCGTGTCTTCCGCCCTCCATTTCCTGGAATGTTTCTACGTATCGTGGGTGAAAAAAAAAACAAGTCAAAAAAGGCCCTCTCTGTCTCTTTCTTCCCCTCTTTTGGACCGGTATTCACTGATGGTCAGTCTGTTCCCTGTATTCTTTTTTTTTCACTCCACCCCGAAAGCAAGAGAGTCATCTCCCTTTCATTTTATCTCCGAGTGGGCATACATCCAATGCGCATGAACACACAGCAGTGATTTATTACTGAATCCTTATACTCTTTCATTATTTTCCCCTTTTTACAAGAGATGTAGACTGATTGGGAAAGAATAACCAGATTTGCTAGTGGCCATTGTGTCCACACGGCATTTTGACCCACTTGTTAGGACAGTTCGCCATGTCAGTGATAAAACCCAATAGTGCTTCATCCTGTCCCGTCCTGTCCTGCCCGTATTGTGTACTCTGGTCTTCACCCTCCTGTCCGTACTTCAGGTCTCTTGTGTGCACACAATGTTGGACGTTGAAGTTTGGCTGATTCATATGTGCCAGTCCCAAGAGGAGGCACTACCGGTCCCATTTTGTGTGTCACCTTCATTACAGCGAGGTCAAGGGACGATCAGGCGGCCCCTACCCCCCTCCCTCCCTCTCTCCCTCTCCTTAGCCTCTTCTGTTTGTCTAAGGTTGTCCAAAAAAAACTTCCTTTGGCACTGCATGATTCGTTCAAGTCTCGTAAAACTGATAGGAAACGCGTAATGTGTGACGTTGGTGCCGAACAGGCGGAGGGAGTTACGACCAGTTTGTTTAGACAACACGAGAACCTCGGAGTCGGAGCGGCGGGGAGGCGGAGGAAAGGGAGGGGGAGGAGGCGGAGAAGCACGTGTAGTTGCCTTAACTAGTAACTGCTCTAATATTTCATTCTGTTTGTTTGTTTTGTGAATATTTTGTTAAGTCTTTTTTGTTTGTACTACTGCTAGGTGGTACTTCCGAGAGATATCAAGGAAGGACTCGGAGCGACTTCTTGTGCAAAAAGGCAATCCGACTGGCACATTCCTTGTCCGACCCAGTGAAACTACTCGGGGTATGTGGATACATTCATTTCACTCTTCTTTCCTCCCCCTACCACCGTCTTTCCAAGTCTAAATTAGTCTGGGTGTAGATTTTCAACTTAAGCACTTCAGGTAACATTTTGAGAGTTTTCAGGCCGTCCTTGCTTTTCGTCTGTCCCTCTCCCTCCTGTCAAGTGTGTCTAATTTGTTTTTTTTCCTGCAATTAGTGCCCCTCTATGACCCAATATTGGCTTGATTGACGTCTAAACGAACGTGACCTTTTGGCGAACTTGGTTGATTCACTTCTGCATGACCTTTTCGGTCTAGTCGTTTGGCCTTACCACCTCAGCAATTAAGAGCGTCAGTAAACATCGTTGATTAGGTGAAATTGCCCCTCCAATGTTAACACATTAGTTGCCAAAGTGTGTCCAAGGCAGTGCGATTGTCTCAGTCATCTGCCAAGGTCTCCGATGCATTTAGGAGGTCTTCTCCTCGGACCCCCCTTTTTTTTTATTGCCCTCCACTTTGATCGATTTGTGCAAATGAGAAATTCTTGAACAGAAAAAGTCACCCTCCACACATACACATATGACCGCTCTGCATCGAAACAACTGTTGGGGAGTGTCAAAATTCGCCCTCAGTGAAGTGACTGAGCTAGGTGGAGGTGCTTGCTCTCTCGCTCTCGCTCTGTGTGTCTCTTTTTTTCGACTCGCTTGTTAATATTTATTCCCCTCCTCCAACCCTCGGCACTACACGAAGCGCGTTCTTTGACCCGCCGCGTGCGTTGCCCTCTGACAGTTGTTGTGCCCCTGTGTGACTCATTTCGCGCCCTCCGTGTGTGTGTGTGTGTGCGTGCGTGTGTTGGGATGGGGTGGAGGTGAAGCAGTCCCACGTTTCATTGGAACAATCAAATATCCTTTTTTTCTCTTTTGGCTCGCACCTTGGCCTTATAAATCATCCCTCATACAGCGTCTTTTTCTTGCCAAGAAGTAAACATCCATTGGCTTGAGTTTTGTGACATTCACTACTCCATTTCCATGCCTTATGCGTTCCTCTGTTCTATGGATTTGTGAGTGTCAGGATACTTTTTTTTTCTTTTTTTTCTCTGCGCGTCCAACAAGGCATGCAACCACACACACACACACATCCACACCTGCTTCATGTGGAAGCCCGGTAATCGGACAGGTTGAATACTTTCTCACAGCCTCCTGTTTGGCAAAACCTTGGCCCCTTGCCAAGGCGGTCAATGTGGTAGGTTTGGGTCCACATGTTCGAATTTTCCTACACCTTCATCTGCTGTCCTTCAATCGCCTCCCCTCTTCGCTCCCCTTAATAAAAAACGTAGGAAGTAGACACTCTACTGCACTCTACTGTGTGGATTTTCTCCTCCCTTCTTCAAAGTGCAGAAAAAAGGAGAAAAATAAATTGGATAATTGGGTGCCTCCTAGTGTTTGCCAAATTCATGCACCCAAACGCCCTTTGACAGCTGAAAATGGACATCTAAAAGGTGGCTTGAAGGAGAGCAGTGAAGTTAAACTCGGTTTGATCGAAGCAAAGCTGCACTTCTTGGAGGGTGGGTGAGATGCAAGTGTACCTCCCAAAGTCCTACAAGAAAGACTCGGAGACTCTCTTGATGTTGATGCCAAGAAAATCTCGACATCAACAGTTAGTAGCTGTAGTGTAAGTTGGCACGAAGAGACTTCCTCCGCCGCCTCCTCCTCTTTCTCCCCGCATTCCTTCTATGCATCTTATGCGGAACCTTTTTTCCCCTCCCTCCTCCCGATTTCTCCTCCACATCCTCCTCTCACCCCTTCCACCGGTTGTTCCAACAGGCGGGAGAAATGTCAGGCGGCATTCTGTACGTGTACGCTTCTTTCTCACGAATGAAAATAAACCCAAGGTGTGTGTGTGTGTGTGTACGTGGATGCGTCGATTTATTAGGCTTGCGTGGTCGGTCGGTCGGTCGGTCGGTCGGAATGGAGTGGAGTGGAGTGAGGGAGGGGTGTGGAGCAAGTGATTGGCTCCACACTCCGCGTAGCCTGTCAAAACACCGCTTTCGTTCGTTCACTCACTCTGACGTCTGTCCAAAGGCTAGGCTACTCGTAGGCCGTGTAAGCATGCCTTTGGCATGCTCACGTTATTGCCATTACTAAATGTGCCCACTGCGTTCGCCTTGATGTAAGTCCTCGGGTCAAAAAGGCATGAACGCCCTGCTCTTGGTCCTCCTCAAGGTCTACCTTGGTTTCAGTGGCTCTCAAATTGTATCCTGTTGGCACTTTAATCGTCACCACTAGTCACTTTTCCACATCATTGTTGAATGTACAATTTGGTAGTCCGTTCAGAAGACATCATCATTGGGGCTTCCCAACAGCCACTGAATTATTCTGCATACTTAATTAATCACTTTCACAGAGCGTGGCGGTTGAAAAAGTCCAGTCCAGAGGAGATCTCTGGCCTCCGAATTTGGCCTTAGCGCGAGGTGTGCTGTTGACCTTTCCATGGGGTGTTGGTGGAAAAAAAGGCCTTGATTCAGTGTATTCACCCGGCCGGTCTCTCGAGCCGCGGCAAAGAATGACGCGCACACACATGCAAGAGAGAAAGGGAGAGAGAAAGTGGACTAATCCTGTTCGGGGACACAGAAGGGCGACTCTGCCCCCGTCCTTGGCTTTATTTGCATGCGTTTCGCTTCACCTCGTTTGGCGCTGCCAACTGGCACACACACACACACACACGTGTGTGCGAGCTCGAGAGCTGCAGAAAGGGGGTGAAAAGGAGGAAAAGTGGGGGAAGGGAGGGAGAGGGCACAAGAGGAGGATTTTTTTTGCACACATCGTGTACACTTTATTCCTCCCTTCCTCTCACACACACGCACCTCTCAGCATTCCTATCCCATGCACCGAGCAACCAAACGTCCGTATCATTCTCGGCCTCTGCCCTATTTTTATCAAGTTGCTACAAAATGAATTCTACTTCTCCATTTGCCCTTCTTTAGACCTTAAAGGAGCTGAGATGTCTCCATCCTCCTTCGAGAGCTGTCCTGGACGGTGCTTTTCTTCTGTCCCAAACATTTCCCACCTCTTGAGCTGGATAAAAGGGAGGAAGTTTTCTCAAACTCTCCTCTGCCACTATTCGATGCGATATTTACCCGACAGTCCATATGGCACATCCATAAGGACTGTCGGGGTGGCGTGTGTCTGGGATTGGTTGTTTCACCGTTTTCCCCTCAAGAACGGTGGTTTTAAGAGGCAGCAGACAGCAACACATGGGGGGAGGGGGCGGGGACGGCAGAAGGAAAGAGAGTGGTGAATAATTGAAAGATACACGCTTTTTTATGTTGATGGTGGAGAGCTGACGAAAGCTGGCGGTCATGAAGTTTCCAGGTTGTCTACACTAACCCCATTTATTGCCACACAAGCATGAAACATGTTTTGTGCGTCCATGTCCTCTTCTGCCCCTCCTCATCTCCATCGCTGGATGTGTGTGTGTGTGTGTGTGTGTCTGAAATTTGTGACGACACAGTCTTTCATCAGCTCCGCTGTAGCCAGTCGGCAGTGCTTAATCACTCGCCTTTTTCAGTCCCCAATCCCCTCCTTTCCGTGCCACCACAGAGGTAAATGGGTCATCGTTTTACACTCGCAACTTCTCAGTTGAATCGGCTCCCCTTCACTGTGGAGGAAGGCGATGATGATAGTTTGGAGTGGACTTCCTTCTTTTCCGTCTTTTTAGGTGGACTTTCACTCTCAGTGCGAGACTACGATCCCAATGTGGGAGCAGTGGTGTGTCACTTCAAAATCAAACACCATCCACCAAGTGGAGGTATTTGCATCACCTCGACTTTAGTCTTTCCAAATCTTGTGGATTTGATCAATCATTACACTTCACATGCTGATGGATTGTGTTGTCGTCTAACTCAACCCTATCCACGTCCTCCGCCTTTCCTTTCGGATTTGTCACGAAGAACTAAGGATCATTGGGAGATTCCACGCTCATCTCTTGTCCTCCAGGAGCGTCTTGGTGCCGGTCAGTTTGGTGAAGTTTGGCGTGGTGAGTCCTTGTCATAGCGTCGGTGGTAGTTCGTCTTCTCTTTCCATACCGTCTACCTGTCTACTCCTCTTCTTCCCTCCATCTCCTTTAAGGTGAATGGAAGGGTGCTACTCCAGTGGCCATTAAAACTCTCAAAGAAGGCACCATGACCAAAGAGGACTTCTTGAAGGAGGCACGGATTATGAAGACCCTTAGCCATCCACACATTGTGCGTCTCTTTGCTGTTGTTACCACTGAGCCCATCTACATCGTCACCGAGTTGATGTCTAATGGCAGTCTCCTCGCCTTCCTTCGAGCCGATGTTGACAAGAAACT